CCCCCCCGCCCCCTTGGAATTGATTTTTCAATACAGACCCCCCCCCCTCTAAATTCAATTCTCTCCTGGAGAACGTCTTCGTGAGCCTCTCATGATTTCCGGATAGTTGAAACCCTCTTGAACATTCAGAAAGAGTGCATATGAAATTCTAATCACGAAAGGTGTTCCCCGAGGGGATACATACCTAGAGTTTGTTTTGTGAAGCACGTCAATTCTCTCCTGGGGAGCGTCTTCGTGAGCCTCTTATGGTTTCAGGATAGTTCAAATCCTATGATGCTCCGATTCAATGCTCACCGATGATCTGAGCCATGGGGCAAGTTTGTTTTCCTAAGAATCTTGAACATTTCGCGAGCATATGTTTGAACATTTAGAGTGCATATGAACATATGAACATATATTTACGAAAGGTCACCTCGGACTCCGAGGGGATAAATCACCATGTCGAACATTGCATTTTTGTTCCTGCCTCTCGCGTTCTCTTCTCTTCCCACTGTCCTACCTTTCGTGTCTCCCTCCTCTCAAGTCTTTCGAGTGCAGCTGTGTGGTGCATTTGTGTTTCTTTACATAGGTAGTTGCGAAAATCGACGGCAAGTACTACGCGGCGGGCTGTTACAGACCACTGCAGCAAGTGTGGAGTCTAGCAGTTTTCCTCAAAGTATGCACTGGTGGTGTTTGTCAATTAATGCATATTGATATGTATATATATATATATATTTTTTTTTTCATGCAGTTTTTCTCAAAATATGCACTGGTGGTGGTTTTTGTCACTTGATAGTGAGGAACATGTCGTTTCTCTTTGAGTGTAGGCTCCTAAATCGGTCCATGTTCACTCACCTGTTTGGGCCACCAGCTTCGCACTCTTGGCTGTGCAGGTTGATGCGAAGTGTCCTCACTTGGGCTTGCCAATGAAGCAGGGAAAAATTGAAAGCGGGTCGCTGGCCTTAGCTGGCTGGACTTGCCTGAGGTTTAGTTGGACCAGTTCTGCAAACGCGGGAAGCGGCTTTGTTTCTGGTCCTTGCGTGCGGTATTTATCCGGTTGGTATTTGCAGAAAGGGCCTTGGTGGGCCTTCGAAGCTTGGTTTTTGACGCATGTTCAACTAAGGCCAGACGGGCCGACTTTGACCTGTAATTTCCACAACTCCGAGCCACTGGGCATGCAATTGGAAGTTACTCGGTCAGCTCAGATATCGACCCCCATTGACACGTATTGCAACACACCATTCTGACTATTCTGTTTCCATTCGGCTTTTGTTCGCAAAGTCTTGCTTGCGGGCCCAGCTCTCTGACAGCAGAACAAAGGCAAAAAGTTTGTCCGCTACTACTCGTAGTTTAATCCAATCATTTTTCACCCAACTGACTAGCTACAGACCGGTTTTGCAGGATACGGAATGGACAACGCGTGGGTTTCTGTTAATTATGGATTCTTTTGGCATACTGCACTTGGCGGATGAATCTTCAACTGCGTAATTTAACTTTCTTGCTGCCTAACCTGACTGACCCGACTGAGGTTCAACATGAACACCGGCGTTTGCACGAGGCCTATTTGAACCTTTAGTTGACGCATGTGTGTTGTGATTGTGACCACTTCCAAGGGGGAGCTGATACCCTGGACTCACAACATGTGACTTGCAGCACTTTTCAGGACTTGGCTTAGGGTTTGTCGGTAGGATAACCTTTCGTGCGGGGACCAATGTGGAAGGCTTTATCGCTTGCCCTGCTTCGAGTGGCCGCTGCTGGTGAGTGGAACTTCACAGTGTACTCCGCCCCGATCAAACTCAGGTATGGTGAAGTATACAACAATCAGCAAGGTCCGTTGAAGTTGCCGGAGCACATTGTTTCAAGGTATGCCGAAGACAAAGAGATGGCCATCACGGGCTTTGATGTGGAAATGGTCCGCCAGGCAGCAGATGGTTCAGAGGAATTGGTGAAGTTGAATGACCACTACTTGCACCACTACATCCTCTCCATGGGGCGCATTGAGACGATGAACCTTCGCTGTAGTTGTAGCGGTGGTGGTAGTAGTAGGAGTAGGAGATGGTAGGAGTAGCAGCAAGCAGCGCAGCACCATTGAATGTGCACCTTGTTTTTGAGCATTTTGTCACAAGCTGTGCATGTGTACACACGCACACACTCACTCTCTCTCTCTCTCTCGCTATGTATATATATATATATTAATTATCTACATACCCCCCGGGTTCACTTGAGACAGTGAGCGTTTTCTCACTCGCCAGCTTCAGACACTGAGGGTTGTGTAGAGCTTTTGTCTACCCTCATTGACATTCTTGCAAGAGTTCGGCATGGAATCGGTGGCCTCGATTTCTAACTTCTGAAGGAAGAGGGATTGGCAGCTCCGCTTGCAAGACCTCCATCCGTTTCTTTTGCTCATACTTCATACTTTGTTTCGCTTGGGCCGCGGAGAATTTACAGTATTCACGTGTGTGAATGGTGGCCCAACACGCATGCACGCATTTTGCCCACCCCCCTGAACCCCCCCTAGAGATACACATCAAGATGTGCGAGACGATAAGAAAGGGTGAGTATTATGTAAGAAACACGCGACGAACCCTCGGAATAAATTGGACTGTTCTGAATTTGATATTCCACTGGTTCTATGAACACATGAAAAACGACAACAGCTTGCGCGGTAAAAGGGCGCCCGTGCCGTGCAAATAAAATCTCAAAGTAACAATAACATTTCAACAACATGCAAAATACATTCAGAAATCAAACATTATGCATTTGGCTTTGCTGTCTTAAACAAATCCCGTTTGGATGTGTATATATATATTATATGTAACTATGTATATATGATTATATATAGATACTAATATATATATATATATGGGTTACGTTCACGGGTTTAAAAACGAAACGGACCTAAATTCTCTTTCATCCGCAGTGTGTTTGGCTTCAGCAAGGCCGTCCCGGCTGACCTGGTCCCAAAGGAGTTCGAGGGCCAATCTTGTGTCCTGGTCGCTCGAGTACTGCCCATGGGGTTCTTGAACTCCGTCAGCATAGCTCAGCACGTCCATCGTAACGTGGTTCGGTGGGCGGCGATGTCAGGAACACCTCATATTGGTGCGGAAGGGGAACTTCGCAAGGACCGCGCCATGACCTCAGCCGCAGACATGTATCGGGTGTATTTGGACAACTTTGATGCCCTGGAACGGGTTGATGCCGGGTTGGCGGGGCAGATAAAGGGGACCGTGAAGCCACAGGTGGAGACCTTGCGGGACATGTATCTCAAACAGGGCTTACCCCGGCACCCGAAGAAAGCAGCCGAGAGGGTGACACTGGGAGAACTACAGGGGGCTCTCCTGGACGGGGAAGCTGGTTACGCCATGCCAAAACCACAGAAGGTGGTCCAGTATTGTAGGCTGGGTTTTGAGCTCCTGGTGAGGGGGCAATCTACACTGCGCGAACTGCAGGTAGTATGTGGGGGCTTCGTCTACCTAGCTATGTTTCGTCGTCAACTGTTGGGTAGTCTCAACGCCGTGTTTGAGCACATGAAGCGTTTCGAGGGTGAAGCACCGGTGGTGCGACTGGGGCTGCCCTATCAGGTCAAGGTCGAGATTGCCAGGTTTATTCTACTGACCCCACTGGCGCAGATGGAGTTTCGTTCGCCGGTCGATGGAGAGGTGACTTGTTCCGGGCGCTGGCTTTGAAGTACAGCAATGTAGGCCTCATCATTGTAGGCGCGGGGCCACCGTGCCAAGGAGTCAGTGGGTTAAAAGCTGATCGCCTTGGCGCGCTTTGGGACGAGCGGAGTCGTTTGTTCCAGGAGATTCCGCGGATCACTGCGATCTTTCGGCGGGAGTTCTACTGGGCCCAAGTGCATGAGATGGTTGAAAATGTCGCATCCATGTCAGCTGCGGACAGGGCAATTATGAGTGAGGCCTTCCAGCGAACCCCCCCTCCGTATTGATGCCAAAGGGATTTCACCGTGTGCCAGGCCGCGCTTGTACTGGCCTACCTGGGAATGTGGCCGTGAAGCCGGTGGCACAGAGGCGAGAGTTGGGCACCCTTCGAAGTCTCACTGTTTCAAACAAAACCAGTAGTAGGTACATTGCCGCACGCACCAAGTTTTACAATTTCCTTCGCGAAAACTCCCTCGAGATTCCAAGCAGAAGGGAGCATTTTGATAGCCTCCTAGCCGAATACATTGAACATCTGTGGTCCGAAGGGGAGGGACGTGGCCTTGCAGCAGATACTGTCGCTGGAATGCAGGACGCGGATCCGAAGCTGAAAGGACAGCTACAATTGACCTGGAGACTTTTAAAGACGTGGAACGTCAACGAGGTCCCAAACAGGGCACCCCCCTCTTCCCGAGACCGCGTTGGAGGCCATGGTCGGCTGGAGCTTTTTCCATGGGCATTTCGGCTTCGGCGTCTCCCTGCTCGTAGGATTTTATGGGATGTTGCGCACAGGTGAACTGACAAGTTTACGAGCCTCGCACGTTTTCATGAAGGCCGAAACGGCCCCTGCCGTCCTTAGCCTTGGTCTAACTAAGAGTGGGAAGCGTGTAGGAGTCTCCGAGTCAGTCACCCTGAATGTAGCTGTGGCCCTCCGGTGGTTGTGGGCATGGAAACAGGGAGTCAAACCTCATGCACTGTTTGTCCCCTCAGTGTCAGCTTGGCGTAAACTCTTTTCCGAATGCCTCCAGGCATTGCCACTGACCCTTTTTGAGTTCAGGCCCTACTCCCTGCGAAGGGGGGGGGGCGACATTTTGGTTTGGCAAGCATGCTTCGTTCGATAAGTTGATGGTCGCTGGAAGGTGGCAAGCTGCCAAAACTGCCCGAATATATTTGAACGAGTCCATGGCAGTGCTGGCCGACATGAGACTTCCCCAGAAATCCTTGTTGCCTTTTGTTCGCGTTTTTCACAACCTAGCCTCACCTCCACACTTGAGCTCGCGGGCGCGCCGCAGGAAAAGGGGCACGTGGAAGGGGGGTCTTTCTTGCAACTTTTTTCGAAAAAAGGCCCCAGCTTGAAGGTTTCGGCTAGGCGAAATGCTTCAAGGGGGGCAAGGGGGGCTTTCCTTTCTCTTCGGCTAGGCGAGAGTTGGGAAAGCTGCTCCTTTAGACCTTAGACAGGTCAAACCCATGGAGGGATGGTCTGGTGAAAGACCAAGTTGTTGAATTTCAGTATTTTCCCATTTCTATTTGTGATTAACTGCGGAGCGTTGTGAAAAGAATCGGCCGTGAGTTTTTATATATATGTGTGTGTGCTTGTTTCTGAATTGATTTGACATTTGGCTTTGAGTGCTCCGCATACAGGAACAAAGTCCTCCAGCACGCTGCTGAAGACAAGATGTTTGCTCGAATGCTGAGGGGCTGTCATGGCATGACTCGGGCTCCAATCCATTCCTTCCTCACGCAGCTTGGGGACAATGAAGACCTGGTCACTTTTGGCAGTGCAGCTGGAGCAGAGTACCGCCACAACCCTCAACGGTACAGTGCACCATTCCGCAGGGTGATCAAGTCGCCACAGGTATGGGTGCCGACTTTTCATGTCATCAACACCAACAAGCCTTTGGAGAATAGCTCGGTGCCGTACTCACCACTCTTGGAATGCCCTTGCACACCCCAGCGCAAGATTGACGTGGCTGCTGGGACCATTGATGGCCGAGATCCAGATCCCCCGATTCGATGCAGCCCTTCCTTCGCTGCCACAGGGAACCCGTCCTGCAGCTTGTCTACATATGTTGGCGGGTGGAGATGCTGCGAGAATGGGGTCTTCTTGATTGACACTGACAAGCAATGCAAAGATCCTGAGTGTTCAGAAGAGCCCGAGGATGAGGTCTTTATGAAGTACACATTCTACTACGAAGATGCAACACCAGAGACCCGCCACATGGAGCCAAGTGCATGTTGTGATGTCACTGGCACGACCCAGGGTTTTGAGAATATCGAGTATGATGTCCCAGTCTGTGCAGCCGGCACCCCGCCCGGGAAATGCCTTCACATTGTGGAAACCGTGCAGCCTGTTGGCTACTACTATCGTCATCCAAAGTCTCCGAACGACCATCACAAAGCCACTGACCTCGTTGACATTGTGTTTGCCGCTCCTCACCTTCATGTTGCTGGTCTTTCGCTTGAGCTGATTGATGAGGTTACCAACAAAACACTTTGCCATGTGTATGCCTCCAAGGACAATGCGCACGGAATCATGTATGGAAACGGCACTGAGGCTGGAAATGAGAATGGCTACATGACTGGACTATTGCCATGTGTTTGGGGTGGTGAGGAAGCTCCCCGCTTTCAGAGGAACCATCCATTGCGCACGAGGGCAGTGTACGATTCTTCACGTGGGCACACCGGTGTTATGTCATTGTGGCTGATGGATGTTTCACCTGTATCTGAGCCGGACTTCATGATCTAATCTAACGATTAACAATTTACCTATAGTAACGTTTTTGTTGGTGTTACATGTTCCAAGGAGCATATAGTTTTCTAAAACTGCGCGTGCTGCAGTGAGCAGACAATCATCATCAACCTTTTGCTGCTCGCCAAGCTCGGCAAAGCTGTTGCACACGTTACACTGGCTTTGGTTGGCCTTGTTGTGCCACGTTTGGCCGTGAGCTTGTTACGTCCTCGTGGTAGCAGAGTGAACAGATAGGCCTGTAGAAAAAGGTGTCATGCATGCACGGCCACCATGAGACTAGAGCGAGAGAGGGAGAGAGAGAGAGAGAGTGAGGTTGTTGTGTGTGTGTGTCAGAGACGCCCGAGGAGGTTCTGAAACCACAAACAGGAAGTGAAGAACCTTTCCATATTCATTCAATGATTTCATTTGATTTCCCTCTCCATGGCAGTTGAGCTTCTCCAGCTTGCAGGTGGGTAACTGGTGCTTTGGGCTTTGAGAATGACTTCGTTGCTGGATTCATGTGGGCATCTAAGTTGGGTGTTGCTTCAGCTGTTTACTATTGCAGTGGCATAATAAGGCGTTGACTTCAATCACCATAATGTAAGTTGCAGACGGGAGAGGCCATCGTTGGTGTGACAACTGCACATGTGCTTGTCACTGTGATGCCAACAAACTCCACGGCGCATTGGGTATCCCCGAACTGACCTGGGCTGACATGGGTTTGCCATTCGACCTCACAAAGTCCGGCGGCGGCCCATGCCATGGTACAAAGAAGCTCTTGATTTTGGAGGCTAGTTTTTTAGCAACATCCAAGACAGAAGCCTGGGCAAGATCCTACTGGTATGTCAATTTCCTGTGGAATTGGTTCTTCGGATGTGTTTGTGGCTATGTGATCCTGTCCAACTCTTCAGGGCTCTTGCTCTCGAGGTCTAATGTTGGTGGTGAGAAGAAGAATGTGCAGGCCTATGAGGTGTCTCCGGGCCAGTGTTGCAACAAGGGTGTTTCTGATCTTCGTCTTTGCATGGGCTCCCATGTGCTACAAGGGCTATGCAACAAGTGCTGCAACGATGTACATCAATATAATTCTGACCCTATTTCAGTAAGTATAGTATAGTATAGTCATATAGTATAGTTATACTGTATATGTATAGTTCGATTTGGACTGCTCAGCACTGTGCCCAATAGTCTTTGCTGTTTGAGAGCTGACAGTGCTTGATTGACACAGATTGACACTTTTTGAGAGCCTCATACGGCATGCCCCACTTGAAGCGCAAACCCAGTCCTTCTAGGCATTGACAGAGACTGAAAGAGACTCGGGGGGGATTTCCTTGTTTGAGGTGGTGGAAGCTGACGTGCTGTGCTCAAGCTTTTGTCGAAAACATTTCGGATGTCATGGATGTGAAGTTCGGTTGTTTTTTACTTTCACAGGATGGTTCACTGTCCTTGGTGATGCCAAGCAAATGAGCGCTGGACTGTGGTGTAGACATGCGTAGACATTTGAAGGGATTAAGCTATCCATCAAGTGAATCAAATTAATTGACATCCATGGGCTGAATGATGGCGTCAGCTCGCGGGCTCTTTTAATGCTATCGCAGCTTTAGTGAGCTGAAAAGTGCTCCTGCGAGTCCCGGCACGTTTGCCAGCCAATACAGACATATAAATGCTTGCTTATTGCTGCTGCACTGCGGCATCCTGTTTGAAGGTCCCACCCACCAATAGTTGCCAGATTGAAAGGCTCTACCTGTCAATACTGTTGCTCGTCAGGCTCTCAGCTCAATTGGTGCAAATGTTTCAGCCAGGACCAGCAGTACAAGTCAAAGTATCAGTGAAAATCATGGGAAAGTTCTCTCAGCATCCTACACCTAGTTGTCGTCTGGGGCCGCAGCTCTCTCAATGAATGAAATGCAAGAGTGTATAGCATGTGGAAGGAGAAACGGAGCATACCACAAGCAACAGCATTGCTCTGGAGGCATAGCTTTAGAGCCCTGAACACCAAGAATTCATTGAGAAGAGTTGTAGTGCCACTGCCACAGTCCTCATGGCAACAGTGGTTCTGGGGCAGACCCTTTCAGCCGAAGTTGAAGCTGCATCAATCTCAGATTGAAAGGATTACCCTACAAAAAGTTTGAAGTTGATTTTGTCGAAACATAACGCCCTGACAGTTTGAGAGAGTCATGATACTTTGCGGGTTTTTTCAACACGAGCAACGTTCCCTTGAAATGAATCTCACATTCAAGATGCTCAGACCTGGACATTGGTTCAATTCAGAAACAATGAACAAAAATCAAATGTCTATATACGCATATTGCCAGCTGTTGCTTCCCTCATGCTGCTGTATTTGCATTGCAAGGCAATTGCAAAGGATCCTGCTCTCAAAGCTCGTTTAGATGAGGCTTGGCCTAAGATGCTGAGGACATGCTCCAGAAGTATAATCTACCCGGTCCAGTCTCCATTGTGTTGTTTTTCTGGGTAAGATCGGAAAGCAGCAGGATAGAATTAGCACATGTTTCTATCGGCCTTTCTTCAAGAAAGGGGTCAATATGGTTGGGCGCCGAAGGTCTTGCTAGCATTCTGCAGGAGATGACATTGCACCAGTGCTTGATGCATGTAGAAAAAAACGGCTCGGCATATGAACTGAAAGAGCCAACACATGGCAACACCATAGATATGCCAGATCAAGCTGTTGGATTATGCGTGAGATGTGAGCAAAGGCAAGACGGGCAAGTTGTTGGTTTTTCTCCGTCACATCTGAATGCAAGTCTCACAGCCTGATTTGCACAGCTGTGGCTCCAAGCGCAATGCCTCGATGGAGCTTTGCAAGTGCGGCTATTTTGGGGCTGTCCATCGCCAAGCCTGAGATTCGAGTCAAGCAGTTCCTTGGGATTGTTTAGTTTTTTTAAAAGGCTCGCCGCGCACACTGTGTTGTTGCCCCACAGCGCTGTGTTGAACAGCTTTTGTGTTAATTTTTAGTACGGCTTTCCAAGCAAGCAAGCAAGGAACTGGCAGGATGAGTGGCGAAATGATTTGAACAAGTGCGTCGTGGACAACATTGCCATTTTCAGAGATTCTGCCGGCAAGCCACGCACAAGGAGCATGTTAAGGGTTGATGTTGTTAGCCTCAAACAGGCGGTGCATTTGTAACGTAAAACGGTAAAGCTGCAAGTTTTGAAATCAGGAAGTTAGACGAGATGGCTGACCTGATCAGCAATCAGATCGTGGGCAATGTGTCGCCACCGTCGCCACCCCCCTTCTACAAAAACTGCAAAGACCGTAGAAGCTTCAAAGTTATCAAAAAAAAGAACGCATGAAACGGGAGCTAAAGCAAGAGCTTCGGGACGACCTGGGCGCTGTCTTTCAGCAAATGGATTCAGCGAAAAGCAACACTGCTTCTCACCTGCACGATGTTGCAAGTTGTTCAACTGTTGTTCTCTGCCTGGGTAAAATCTTGTTGAAACTGCCCTTGCCCAGACAGTGGCGGGGGAGGCCCACATCAGCAGAGCAAGAGAGAGTATAATGAGCATAACAAGATATACAGTAACAATTATATACATAGTATATAGACACATGACATCAATAACATCATATGAGCATCCGACAAGTTCCGTGCATGTAGTTTAGTAAGGAGCTGCCTTAAGTATCTCAGAATTGATTTAAAAAACAAACGCATAACCATGCATAACCGATAGGGGCCAACCCTACACCGATACCCTTTCTTAGGTTATGGCTTTGGAACCAAATTGATCATGCCAGTGGTGCTGTGGGAGACTGGTGGTTTGACAGAGGTTTGTTTGGAACGAAGCAGAAAAGCATGTGAGCAAGGGACGGGTGCGCCAGGGGAATTCCATAATTCCATGTTCAGCCAAGTGTCCAGCAGCTGTAAATTGACTTGCAAAATGCTGTCGAAATTTGGGTCTAAATTTACCGATACCTCCTCCTCCTCCTCCTACTGCTACTGCCACTGCTACTACTATTATCAAAGGGCGACAAGTCAATAAAGTTGCTGGCGCTGTGTGTGGCGATAACACCCTTGAAGGCGACACCAATGACCTTACCACACATAATGATTCTTGAGCGTCACACATGTGCTCATGAGAAGAAGTTCCGCGAGTGAACACAAAACACTGAAAACCGAAAGGGGCCAACCCAAAGTACTTCTGGCACTGCGGAAACCAAGAAGTTTCGTCCGCCACTCGTATGTATTGTATACTTGCACGTATCCAGTGCGCCAATTCCTTCACGGAATGGGCTCACTTATACTTCTAAGGTGTTCGATGTTGAACAAACATTCTGTAGACTGGCTTGCGGCAAAGAATCTAGCATGGAGGTTGAGGAGTGTCATTCTTTAGTATGTTAACATGTTTTCCAAAAAGGTCCACCTTACAAAATGTGTAGAGATCAGTATCAAGCTGGTGAAAGGCCATGTTGAACCATGTTGGTTCAAACACTTGTTCGGGGGAGGCGCAAATCCTGCCAGGTTCAGCCACTTCCTTTGCGTTTTCAAGCAAGTCTGTTTACTGAACCATTGGAATTCTTTCGGGCTGGCTGTGGAGGTGCTCCTGTATTTGCGTTCATGTTTTGTCAGGTGTCCCTCCTCCAGTGTGGGCATCACATGTCATGAGCATCGCCTGGCTGTTTTCAGTCAGTTTAAGCGAGTTTAAGCACATTGTTATGAGGTCGAGGGCGCGCTTTTAGTCAGGCAGGACAAAAGGTTGGGAAGATCACTCAACAAATAGTGACTGGAATATATTATATATATACATACCTCTATACTCTACACTGTGTTACTGTGGAGCTGGCAGTGAAGCATGCGAAAGCATGTGGATGTACACTGTATGATTTGTACGTATATGATACTGAAGCAAGTCATTACATAAAGAAATGGATCCCAATGGGATGTCCATCTCACCATCCCACAGCTTGAGGCTTACTATCAGAGGGTCAAAGAGCAAGGTGAACAGATGATACTGCAGATGTCTAGGCCGGCGCTGGCAGACCACACTTTGAGTTGCTGAGGTTACCCTTCGTTTCACGCTCTCTTCCTTGCGCCCTCAAAAGTTTCTCGAGCAACCCTAGACTGGATGCCAAACGTGCAATTCAGCTTTCGTGTATGGTACGTGCATGCCACGAGGCAATCCAAGCTGCCCCTTGACACTGATGTGACTTTGCGCGAGTGGTGCTTTCTTCAGACTTTGCTTTGGAATGTTTTCTATGGTTCTATGATGCTGTTTGTCGAGCACATGCTCGACAAAACCTTGCAGAATAGTCAGCAACGGAGACGTAAGATGATGCCACTCAACGTAGCTCTGAGGTGCGATATTGTTTGGCGGTCGGGTCGCTTCTCGCCGTTGGACCAGGACCTGGCAAGAAGTCACAGTGAGAGCAAAAGCATGCAAAAGCAATCCAGTCAAACAGTCAAGACACGTTTGCCCAACAGGACCAGCCAAAGAAATTGGATGAGGATAATATTCCTGATTTGGATGATGTTGAGGACTTGATGCCGCTCTAAGTGTTCTTTTTAAACGATGTTTTTACAGTGTTGTTCTGTACAACAGCGTGTTTGTTTGCATCAAGCCTGCATGATATGGGGATCCATATCAATGACAGAGCACGATTTCCTTCCACCAATTGGATGTTTGGGTGCGTTTAACCGACGAACATCATCGGTGTGGTCAGGAGGATTCATCCAAGTCCTCAGTGCTCACTGAAGAGCTCTGATCACTTTGTTTTCATGGTTCTCTCCGAGCTCTCTCCAGCTATTTGGAGGATCACTGGGCAGAGGGAACCTCAAAAGGTCCCCCAGACAATGGCTGATTTTCGACACCTCATCCTCCGGTTAGGCTCATGGAGAAGGGGACAGAGGTCGGCAAATGGAAGAAGGACAGACACGGAGCTTGATGCCAGGGACTTCGCGAATTGAGGGGACGCGTGCGGATACGTAAGGGCACCTGCAGTACAAGCTTGTGACAATGTAGATCAATGTCAATCGATACCAAAGAGAGCAAGTGCGAAAAAGAAGCTGCAACTTTGCATGAACGTTGATCAGCACACCAGCTCAACTGACAAGAGTAACGGCACACGGCGCACGCCATTTGCTTGCCCCACAAGATACCATGATGGTGGGTGGGGGAGCAGCTGCTTGCTGTTGTGGGCATGCAGCGGGCTCAGTAGGCCCACATAGACATAGATAAACAGATATAGATAATATATAGATATGTTGTTCTGGAGGGACAGACATCTAAGGCCAAACCAGTGTCCGGCTAACTAGCCATCGCCTCTTGACTATGGACCTATGGCTCACAACATGTGCCACCCTAACCCTACCTAATAGCGATGGCCTCCAACTCCAGCATGAACAGAAACCGTGGTGCAGGCAGCTTTGCTGGCATTGGCACGGGCCAACCCTGAACGGGCTGTGCAGGCATACGTTCACGACAAAGACCTTAGACCTTTGCACCAGGTTGCTG